GTGTCATGAGATTCTTAGCCTCAAGAATTATCAATATAAGAATTGGATCTTAACTGAAACCCCCTGGACAAGATTCAAGAAACGTAGGACAAGAGAAAGCAATTAACGATAGCCGAACAAGAATAGAACAATTCACGTCGCAACCTGATTACATAGAAGCAAACAAGCAAGTAACGAAGAGCATTGGAACTGATAATGCAGAAATACATGTTGATTCATATGAAATAATGATTGTTTTCATTGAACATATTGTTATCCCAATTTCGTTTATTAGTTGAAGGTATTCAACATGGAAGTATAAGAGGCTAAGTTTGTATTGGCTGACACATCATCATTATTATGATCATGGAGAGTATTTACTAATATTCCCTACTAAAATTCAAGTCAAACCCTCAATGATAATATAAAACATTTTGTAAATGTAAAATACCCATAACTCGTTGTTCCAATAGTTGTATTCGATCTGTGAATTCATCTTCAAGTCGGAAATTTTCATTGTACTACAAAAAGGAAACATTTAATTAATAAAATGTTTTGATATGCTTAAGATATAGAAAAAAAAAATAATGTATACTATTAACTCCATCAGTAGCTCATCTAGGATTACTGTCGGTCCCCAGTCTGGGTCAAGGAGATGGATTGGGTGTAGGATCAGAATTTTAATCCAGTAGAACTTCTAAGCTCTCATATCACTTTATATTTTTTTATTATCTTATTCTTATTCATTTTGATTGATTCGAACCTTTAAAATCGTTCTCATATTGTCACTTTTGTCGCCTTCTTCGTTCAACTGATGGATACAATTGTATTGTATTCAACATTCATTAATATTAGTTAACTATAAGAACATTCAGCTACATGATGCATCCATTATTTAACATTTAATAAATGTGTATTAAAATAGATAGGATTGAGTAGTTAATAAGAAACATTTTAATGGTCAAATAAAATAGATATACAATCAGAATGTATTTTGATGGAGTTTTGTTCTCTGAGTTGGATAGCTTGGTCGTAGAGCTTTCATCGTCCTTCTGAACGACATCATCAGCACAAACTTCAGGTAGAAAGTAAAGTGTTTCAATTTCTCCACATGTGATTCACAGCTTAATCTGTGCAGAAGGACGATGAAAGCTCCACGATCAAACCATCCAGCTCAGAGAACAAAACTTCATCAAAAATCACCCATCTGAGCTATAAATTTTCTCTTCACCATCTCAAAATCAGAATGTATCTTCAGATAGTGATAACAGAATATCTATTAGCAACTAATTATATTATATAGTTGATAAGACAAGTATTTCACTAATTATGACAAATTTCTAACTTGGATGCCGACTTAATGGTCTAATGTCAAGCACTGATACGTCCTTAGTTCGAAACTCGTAAGGCGGGATCATAGATACACACTGTTGAGGAGTTCAACAATAGGACGAAACGGCCGTCCAGTGCTTCCAGGCTTTTCATGGTGGTCTAGCTTCAATTGACTTATGATCTCAATTATTGAAATTTCTAACTTGTTTAGTATTTTTGTACTTATGACTTCGTGTAGAATAAAAGTTAAAACATAGCAATTAAGCTATCTAATTCAGAGAACATGATGTCAACAAAATTATCCACCTGATGTATAATAGTTAACCATCAGAAAAATGAATGTTTTATTTACTGAGCTGGATGGTTTGGTCATGAAGATTTCATTGTTCTTGTGAACGACATCATCAGCACAAACATCCAGTAGAAGTGAAATGTTTGAATTTCTCCACATGCGGTTCAAAGCTTGTCCTGTACACCTCGATGTTGATTGGTTCTTGTTGACCTTTAGCGTGTCATTGTCAACTTCGTTATTTTGATTGTATCTCTCATTGGTTTGATTTTGTTCCTGATTGGTTGATATATTGGATTGATTTCAATGTGCTTGCTTATTGCTGATTGACCTAATTGCCAAGCTTCTAGAAAATTCTCTGGTGTTTTTGGAATTGCCTCTATCCGAAATCTCCATATTTTTTTAGTCGAATGTGTGTCTGCAATTGTTCAAGTGCATTGATGTAAGTGAAGACATGCCATGGCGTTTGACTTCTAGTTGATGTTCAACCAAGCGCAGATGAAGAAGGTGTCCGCTTTGTCCGATGCAGTGTTAGTCGCAGTTGGCACAATTTATTTTGTTGATGATGTTTGGTTTTTTTTTCATTATGATAAAACATCATTTCTCAAACTATAAGTAATGGGATGGTGACTTTACGATTAAAACACTTGATTTCCAACCAGTAGGCCCTAGGTTCGAATCCCATTCCATCTGTTACGATTTCACCAGCAAGGTATTATCAATAGCTTATATAGAGCTGTGTGACACAATGTTGAATTCACAAACATATACTCAGTTAACGAGTTATATTAGTTAGTGATGTCGTGTCCAGATAAGAACAATGAATGATAACTTTGGGATCCATTTATGAATCAATATTATGCGTATATTTTTATCGTATAATGGTTAAATAATTAAACTATTCATATTCTTGTCTATCTTATTATGGGCTTTATTTTGGCTCACAGACTATTACTGTACGATTTACCATTCCTAAGTTATCCCCAGTCAATTAATTACTGTTTCCCTTATTGACAGCCACATTTGGCTAAATCTTGTTCAAATGTTGTTTTCCTATTTTATCATACCATTTTGTCTGTCTGGTTGGTACATAAACCCAGTATGTTTGAAATAAATGATTCGTAAAGTAGAGGTTGAAATTGGTGTTCTATACTTAACTGGTTGGGCTAGACAGAAAGCAGGACTGACAAGTAATCTAGACTGCTCGTACGGGTTTCGTGTGTCACTGGTCCGATGGATGAATCGCTACTCTCCAGTTGGTGGCATCGTCACGTTATGCATCAACATAGTATACAGGCGGCACAAGTTATAACAAGTGATTAATAAAATGATTGTAGATTAATTATGACATACAATAGTTAAACGAATTTATCAAAGAATTTTGTAAATAACAATATATATTACTCATTCATTTGTTTTGTGATTGATTCAAACATTCGAACAATGAGGCTTATTTCACTTGGTTCTGAACTTTGTGTAATCGTCACAGTATATGGTGTACTGAAAAAAAGTTCAAAAGGAGAAAATAACATACAGTATGAAATGTATTCACTTAACTGTTTAACTGTTAAGTAATAAGCAAAATTTTAATGAAATGAAACTTGATCTTTGTATTCATGGTGAATAGTGAAGTACCCATTCAGAAGGTAATTCCGGCTGTAGCTCCTCAGGGGGTCTACTGCCGATCCCAAGCCCATACGAAGGAGGAGGGTTGGGTATGGGGTTAGCGACTCCATCCCGTGGAAAACCAACTCGTTAAAAAAAACGCTAATCAGAAAAATTATTCAAACCATTCAATAATAAAGACTTCTACTTGGAATTTATGCTGATGATATTGTTCAGAAGAACGATGAAAGCTTCATGATCAAATCATTCAGCTTAGAAAACAAAACTTCACCAAAAAAGAAAGAAACAAATCAAAATGTTTGAATTACAATGTAAACAATGAAAAACCATAAATAGATAGTGGCTAGCAGTGGAATCCAGGACGCGTGTTTCGTCCTATTCGCGATTCATGAGCTGGATGTACCTGAATCTCAGAGTTAATGTTTACTCTGTTCGCTTCAAACGTCAAAAAGAGACTGATCAGTTGCAATGGAAAATCAAAATTGCTTATTAAATGTAGAATGTCTGTTAAGAATTGTAAAAAAGAGATATGTTTTTAAATAATACTGATGCTAATTGATTTTTCGAATTACTTCTATACTACTTATAACTTATCTCTTCTATTTTAGATAAACTACAACACACAAATAATATACCGTTTAATACAATATAGGAAATAAAGGAGTTGAATGATGATTTATTTCATAACAAAACACCAGATTCACTTATGTGTTAACTGTTGGCGTGATCCAGAAAACGTCTCGCAATAGACAAGTAAGGCTTAGGAAACATTCAGAAGTTAGACCAACATGGAAAACCTGGAAACACTGGACGTTTTATTATGGGACTCCTCAGCAGTGCGCATCCACGATCCCGCACTCGCGAGTTTCGAACTTCGCTAGAATCACAGTTAGACATTACCAAATAACTTTCGTGGTTGAGCGCTTCTGAAGAGTCTCACAATGGGATGAAACGGTCGGTCAGTGCTTCCATGTTTTCCGTGATGGTCTAGCTTCAATTGACTTACGCTTTCAACTATGAAAATACTAAATCTCTACAAAACCTTTCTGATTAAGAAGTTCATTAGAAATTCTGCTAGAAACATCACGAAAGTGAAAAGTCACATGTAGAGTTTCTGATTGACTGATCGCTGTACTACTACCATGTTTGTTAGTAGTACTCCAGAATTTTCAGAAAAACCCAAGGACACTATATTTTCTGAACATGAATAAACCTTCGGAGTGAAGTGCTTCTCTTAAATTTTGCGCCTTTTCTCTCATGTTCAAGTTGCTGTGTAGATTTAGCTTGCAGGGTTACGAGAATAGCTTAGGAACCCAGTATAGCATTCACTTAGCAAAACTTATCATAAACAAATAAATTCACCTTAATAAACTCTAACTTAATTGATTTAAGACTGACTTTTCAATGGAGTCAATAACCAGAATAATCGATTCCTTCGATCATAGATTTAATTTCATTCTAAACTTTAACAAAAATGGGAATAGAACTTTGATTTAAGTTTAACGATTGCAAGTCCTACTCACTGCCTTCTCGTGGCCACGGTACTGTTTACAAAATTGAAAGGACGAAAAGAGAATGTCCGTCGCTTTAAACGGTTTGATGGATATGGAGAGTCAACCTATGGGAGTTGGAAAACCCTATTTCCAAACCAATGATACACATGGGTTCCAGTATCCTGAGGGGACGAATTGCGTATAAATCAATCGTCGGTCATCGGCTACCATGGAACTGCATCTCCTTACGATGCTCCACCGCCTTGTGGATCAGACCTTTAGGTAGAATGCTCCCATTGTGGCCCCCTAAGAAAACCACCTGATTCAGTTTGGGCACCTGGGCAGTATCACAGCCCTCACACAAATCAAATGAAATTCGAGTAGCGCATATGTATCTGGTGTTCCCTAGTAACAATATTTATGTGTTTAAATAATATAAAATAATATTAATTATTAGAAGGGGTTTTGTGGAGATTTAGTATTTTCATAGTTGAAATGATGATTCAATTGGAGCTAGACCACCATGGAAAACCTGGTAGCACTGGACGGCCGTTTCGTCCTATTGTGAGACTCCCGCATCCATGGTCTGTCTTTTGTTTGTTTTAACACATCATTATGACTATTAATCGTATAACTTATTTAGATGTGTTTCTGAAAAGTGTACAACGCTTCATTGTACAAGTTGCAAAAGGCTCAATTGGAGATATAATGATTGTTGGCAATATGCATTAGAGAGTTTTATTTATTTTATTTTATTTAAACACATAATTATTGGTATAAAGGGGCACCAGATATGTATAAGTGCCATACAAATCTCATTTGATTTGTGTGAGGGCTGTGATACTGTCCAGGTGACCAAACGGAAGTAGGTGGTTTTCTTAGGGGACAACAGCCAGAGCCTTTGACCTAAAAGTCTGATCCACAAGGCAGTGGAGCATCAAGAGGAGATGCATTCTCATGGTAAACGGTGGCCAACAATAAGTTCATACGCCATTTGTTGCTTCAGGGTACTGGAGCCCATGTGCACCATTGGTTTGGAATCAGCATTTTCCAACTCTCTAGGGTTTCCGTGTACACCAACCCGGTAAAACGCCGGACATTGGCTTTTCATCCTCTCAATTTCGTAATCAACACCTCCGCCACAAGAAGGCAGTGAGTAGGGCTTCCCTGTCGGAGGCTACACACGCGTGGCCATGTGAGAGCGTTTGGAGAGTGAGGGCAGACTCTCCCCACTCTTGGCAGTACCAGGGCATTTGGGTGCATTAGAAAGAATATACATTATTTAGATGTTGATTGACTAGTCTGTTAACCTTTAACTAGCGATTACTCAATGTTTATCGTCGGGTTCGACGAAGAAATAAGAAACGGAAACTCGCTAAAATACTTTATGTTGAGATATCTATATTGAAGCAAAAACCATAATATAATATATGTGATTGACTAAAACTACTTTAAATTTTCATAACTCACTTATATGTATTAGCTAACATTGAACCAGAACATGGTACATGTAATCCATTCACATCAGTTATAATGATATTAGATGATCTAAGAAAGGAAAAAAGAAGACAGCGGGAGGTGGGCGGTTGGCGGAAATGAAGAATCACTATTTACTTTGGAACATTTGATAGGATACAAATTAAATCATGTATTTCAAAACTTGTACATGATAATGTAATTAAAATCTAAAATAAAAAGGGTTCATTAAACAAGATTCATTTCAGGTAATTTACTCTTTCAATATTTCCATTAATTAATAAATAGATAACTTTAGGTGTTAACTTTGATATAGCACTACCCATATTATACGATGAATATGTTTATATGTATATGTATCTATGGATAATCCTTTTCTGAATATGATTTCACTATTAAATAAGAAATAATGAAGAGTTTTATAAAAATGAATATATAAACTATTTTAAGTACAATTTTTTTGTTGTAATTTGATTGGTTCAATAAAATGACCTTGGGCGTGATAAATTTTTTTAACCAATCAGATTAATTTATGTATTGAGTATAATTTTTTGTGAATTTTATGAATCTATATGAAATGGTTTATTTATCAGGTGTGGTTATTTTTTTTTTCTTTTTTTTTCTATCCCTCTCTTTGAACATTATTATTTATGAAGAAGATCTTCAATGAAGGATAATATATTGATCTTTCACACATGTAATTAAATGATATATTCAATAAGAAATGAGATTTCAACCATATATATACAAAGTTACTAAACATCTTCACGAAAAATCAGCATATTAAGCTCCATGAGGTATTTCCTGAAGTTCTAGTGAGAAGAAATAATCGGTGGATTTCAATCAGGTCTGTTGGGAGATGTCAACTCACTGAAGACAATTAGTGAAATGGTTGTTTAATTTCGTGGATTGGTTGAAGTTAGACATTAACACTGTCGGATGCCAGTCGGTTCAGTGCTCCGGCGCGCGACTGGTAGGTTCTGGGCTCAAATCTCGCGAGGCGGGATCGTGGTCATCCAGTGCTAACAGGTTTTCCATGATGATTGACTCATGATGTCAACTATATATAAAAAATGAGATTGTTGATAGGGTAAAATTTTATATTGTAATGTTGAATAGTTAGTTACTTATGATAAGTTTTTGTAATTTAGTAAACTATTTTCAATTATATTAATTTTCATAAATTGTTAGCTTTATTTGTATTGAGTTAATACTTACTTCCTTACGCCTGTCACCCCTCGTGTAAGAGCATAGGACGCCTACAACCACTCTGTATCCAACTCTTTCCTAGGCAATCCTTTCTCGTTTTTTATGGTTTACTATTTGTTGACAATTCTATATGACCCTGTACCTATTGTTACTATATAGTTTTCAGAAGCTTTGGAGGATATAAAAAAACTCTACATATCTGGGCAGCATTTTTTATGAACACGGTGGATTTGATGCAGATGTGAAGACGCGGATTGGCAAAGCAAGAACAGCATATTTACTACTACTACTACTACTACTACTACTACTACTACTACTACTACTACTACTACTACTACTACTACTACTACTACTACTACTACTACTACTACTACTACTAACCGTGTTTTGACAACTTAACTGATACCTAAACACTTCATGATTTAAGATTTGTGAACTATAGTACATCTATTCATAGTTCAATCCATGAGTCGATCTTAATTAGAACACTATTGAGAACCTGGAAACATTGGACGAGCGTCTAATCCTAGTAAGGGACTCCTCAGTACTGATTACCTGCGACTCTGTAAGTATGAATCGAGCACAGGACCTTCGGACATGCGAATAAACGCGTAACATTCAGACGACTGAGTTGACATCGAACGGTGTACATATTAAGCTTTAGTGAACGATAATTCGCATCCTTTTTCAATTACCTGGAATGAATAAATGCCGTACATCCTCGATATGACTAAACTCCACTACTAAAGGTTTCTCATGAGAACTCTAGGAGTTTTATTTTGAAGTTAATCACTTGTGAGCACATGATTATTAACATAACAGGTGAGCTAGTGAAGATTCAGGATCTTTCATTTTAGGTTTACAGTTGCCATATGATATTTATTTCTCAGATGGTTGAATGAAGGTATCTGCAACAAACTGTTATACAATGAACAGTTGATGATATGGTTATATCCATCTTGTTTCAATCATGAATGATTATCTTATCTAATTGGTTGCTACTTATTGAAACTTAGAGAATTCAGAAATTTGTCTACAAGTTATTGTCTTCAGTGTTCACCGTCTTTGGGTCTCTCGGAATGTTTATTTACTTGCTCTGATTATTATCTTCTGACAATTAAACTACTAACAAATTGTAAGTAGTCTAATTATTTTAAAGCAAAACAAATTCTATTTACTATTGTTGAGATGATGGCTTATGGGATAACATATGATTTGAATACTTTAGATACATTTCATCATAATTTCGATTCACCACAATTTTCACCCTTAGGTTTTCTTATGTAATTGAACTAAGGAGGTATAGGTCTCAAAGCTACATAGTTTGATAAATGTTAGGGTGCATACCCCTTCTCAACTTCATATGGACTTTTAAACGAAAAATCATCATACTCACAACTCAATTTGACTGTGGTATCATGATATCTATGGTTTAGTTTATGGTATTTGGCATATCATAAAACATATCTGTCGGGACTGCCAGAACACAGGGGTGTTCTTTATTCATTTCATCATTTGTTATTTAAAAAATCGCATTTCTTCTTGCAAATCCCAGTTTCACGGTGCACAAGAAACACTCGAAGTATTTCTCCTGTGATCTTGTAATGTGAGAACTTATGTAAAACGCGACAATAGGAAGGAAGTTTTGTATCTTTCTCATGAGAACTTACAAACTGTTTACATAATACATATACATAGGCTTCAATCGTCCATTTTCATATTTCTGTATGTTTTGCAATCTGAACTACCTGCTCAACTGGCCTTCGACTATTCTGTCAAAGCCGTGCTTTCGATGTACTGAAAATCTTCATTCTGTTTGAAAATTATTGAAACATTACCTACACACATCCTTATGAGTAGCGTCTACAACACTTGCTCTTGATATTTGATTTAACACATTTAGCATAACATATATTCAACTCTTTAATTTTATTAATATTAATGGTTTACTCCAACTACTTTCAATATCAAGGTAATAGATTTACAAACTGTTAATTATTCTCATAGTTGTAATCATAATCTGGTCTTAGTTAGACCGTCATTAACAACCAGAAAGAACTGGACGACTGTTTTCTTAAAATAGGACTCATCGGTGACCATTTGAAATCCCACAGCCAGGAATCGAACCAAGAACCTTTAAGTCCTTCAATGAGTGCAAGACCTTTGACCACTAAGCCGGTATCTAGTCCTATGCATCTTTAACTTCAGTTAAATTGAGGTATTACGCAATCATCTCCCATCAAATGTCTTGTGGAAAACTATCACACATCTCCTATATGATTGAATTCCATTGGTAATGGCTTCTCACCAGAACTCCAGGAGTTTCAGTTTGAAATTAGTCAATGGTGCACACATGATTATTACTAGTATAGGAGGATTAGTTATATTAAAACTAACATATTTATCTGATACATTTACTTCATTACTATCCACCATTTATTTTGGTAATAAATACATACTACACTGTATGAAATAGGATGTCTCAAGGCTTTGGCTACATTTAGAATACTGAAACCGAACTCTTTAAGGACATACTCTTTTTGAATTCCATTTTCAACTTTTTAAGTAATAAAAGATGAATACACCGTCAGTTCTTGCTGCCTAGAGATATCTATCGATTGAGTTACGTAATGAATTCAAATCTATATCTATGCTCATTTGGAAATTTAATGAAATCGAATATCAGAAGGGGTTTGTGTGGATATTATAGTATTTTTCATGGTTGTGATCATGAGTAAATTGATGCAATACCATCATGGAAAACTTGGAAGCACTGAATGGACGTTTCGTCCTGGATGACGGCTAAGTGATCTAAAAGTTAAGCACTCGCGCGCGAAACTGATAGGTCCTGGGTTCGAATCGCATGAGGCTGGATCATGGATGCACCTTGCTGATGGGTCCCACAATAGAACGAAACGGCCGTTCATTGCTTCTAGGTTTTCCATGATAGTCTAATTTCCATTTACTCATGATCTCAACTCTTAAAAAGAAAAGAAATACAATATGATAATCAATAAAATGTATCCTTTATTTTCTCATTACTCAATGAATGAATACATTACAAAATAGTTCTTTAATGTAAAATTACATTATAGTCTTATAGACAATAGAGTATGTATGTAAGTATTGAACAAATGAACATTTTCATTGTCCTCTCATCAATCATTCTAACAATTATGTAATACATACATACATAATGACAAATTACCGATTGTAGTTTGAATAGAAAATAGATTGAATCAGTACTGTATAGTTACAATTAGATGATTAAAAAAAAATTCTGTAAAATATGCAAATTTCATCAATTTTTTCATTAATAAGTAGTATAATTATACCATTACCATACATAACTACATATCTACATACTACTTACATACATAAATATACTCACATACGTACTAAACACACACATACATACCTACAAACATACATACATACATACATACATACATACATCCATAGATACATGCATATAGACAAAAAGTCCTAGAATCGAAATTATGTTGGTGCTTGTGAATCAGTAATAAATTTCATTTCTAATTTATCCCCAGAAACACATGATAAACGTGGTGGTGTAATTTCATAATTATGATTACGTAATGTCAATAATTCTTCTAATTGATTTAAACTACTATCTGATGGTAAAAAATTCTCTTCTATATTATTATGATCATTTTCATCAAATGAAAAACATGGAGTTTTATAATTGAAATAAGATAATTTAGGATTTATTGAATGTGAAATTTCATCATTACCAGTTTGTCTACTTAAATCTTTGTTAGTAGTATTCTTTGTTGTTCTAAACGTTTTCTTAATTAAATTATTTGGACAAATGTTAGATATAGGTAAATGTTGATTTTTCATGTCCTCTTTCATATCTTCAGTATTATAATTGTTTTCCTCATCTATATGATTCACTGCAATCGTATTATCTATGACAATATTATCAAATAATTGATGTTTAGATTGTACAAATGGAGCTTTTTCTTTCTCATCACAATTCATTAATAACCGATTTGTTTCTGATTTATTCGATGTATCTTTAATAAGAGATGATTTTGACCAATTAACTGATCCTTTATATTGTAATAGATTATCTCCAGGTAATAATGTCATTTCTTCACGTCTTGGTATTAATGGTCTAAGAATTGTTTGTTCATTCGATGGATTCTCTAAAAAAAGAACAACAACAGCATTCATAGAAAACTCTAACACCCCCCCCACCAAAAAACAACAACTTCCCATTTACAAAAAGGAAGAAAATAAGACGGAAAAGAGTTGACAACTAATGGTACAAGTTGTATACTACTTATTTTACTATTGTATTCAATGTAATCAATGTTCAGTGGAGAATTATGACAGGTTATGCATACTCCTTTTGTCTAACCATTTCCGCTTTAGTATAGTATACATACAATTTATATTAAAATATATGCATATTTAAAATATACATTGTTCCGCAATCATTAAATAGTTTCTTTGGGAAAGAATAAAAAAACAACGTGTAATCCAACTATATTCAACCTTATTCTGGTAATGTCATTTTTATGTCTTATGAAATGAATGAAAGGGAATAAATTTAGGTAACAACATATAAAGGTGTAATCGTCTGGAGTAGTTGGGTAAAGAAATGAAAAAGTAGAAGAATTCACATTATGGAAAATGATAGAAAAGTTATGTAGTTTAGTTCAATAGTTCAATTTTGAAGCCTTTCCTAGTCTCACCAGCAATCTCCATCCAACCCTGGATGGAGAATGCTGGTGAGAGGCTTATGCTCCTCCACGAGGGGTAACAGGCATAAGTAAGTAAGTAAGTAAGTAAGTAGGTAAGAAAGTAAGTAAGAAAGTAAGTAAGAAAGTAAGTAAGAAAGCAAGTAAGTAAGAAAGTAAGTAAGTAAGAAAGTAAGTAACTGAGTAAGTATGTAAGTAAGTAAGTAAGAAAGTAAGTAAGTAAGTAAGAAAGTAAGTAAGTAAGTAAGAAAGTAAGTAAGTAAGAAAGTAAGTAAGTAAGTAAGAAAGTAAGTGAGTAAGTAAGTAAGAAAGTGTGTAAGTAAGAAAGTAAGCAAGAAAGTAAGTAAGTAAGTAAGTAAGTAAGTAAGTAATGGACAATATTATTGAAGCCATCTTCAAATGAAAAAGAGTGTACGTTTTATCTTACCTTAAACCATAGGGCTAGCGAAGTTTAGAGTAGAATAGTGACATATCGATAGATATAATTGGTAACTGAGGTTTGCTTAAACTTGAGTAAAGTTGAAAATATAGACAAGAATATTTCAAATCAGTGATTTAACAATGTCAAATCTATATCATAATCAATGAACTTTGTTTATGAGATTCCGGTTACCTTTGGTAAAGCGAAGAAAGTTTCTATCATTCATCTATTCAAATCATCTTGCAATAATGTCTATCTCCATATTTAGTGATTGTATGATACAGATGAAGATTTTTCATGAGTTTGCCTATATGACACACAACCATAACCCTTGTGATAGTGAGGAAGATTTGTAGCTCATATGGGTGATTTTGATTGAGTTTTGTTCTCTGAGCTGGATAGTTTGGTAGTGGAGCTTTCATCGTCCTTCTGAATGACATATCACAGAATCACTACATGTAGCTTTCCTATTGGATAATGCTATTACCCCCTGGATTGGATAACTAAAATGATGATTTTGTTTTTACTAAAAAATATAAATACCTGACCGTTTTATATCATCATTGACATTGTGTGGGGAATAACATTCCTACTTACTAGTCTTCTGTCTTCTCTCTTGCAACGTTGCGGGTTCGATCGTTCAAGTACTCTAGTAATACGTGGCATAGCAAGAATCTAAAGCTCTAGATATAACAATATTATTCAATAATGTTGCTTAATTTCTATTTTTAGAACAATATAGCCCAACATGAGTATCATCATCATCATTTGTATGTTACTCAACAACTCATTGACATTTTTAGTTTCATATAGTAATTGGCATGTAATTTCATGATTTAAAAATAGTGACAAGAACTCTGGAGAATGATACATATGGGCCACACAAATCTCATTTGATTTGTGTGAGGGCTGTGATATTGCTCAGTGGCCCAAACTGAAGCAGGTGGTTTACTTAGGGGGCCACAGTCGGAGTATTTGACCTAAAGATCTGATCCACAAGGCAGTGGAGCATCGTAAGGAGATGCAGTCCCATGGTAGCCGGTTACCAACGATCGATTCATACGCCATTTGTTCCTTCAGGATCTTGCAGCCCATGTTCACCATTGGTATGAAATCAGGGTTTTCCAACTCCCCTAGGTGAACTCTCCGTGTCCACCAATCCAGTTAAAGCACCGGACATTCGCTTTTCGTCCTCTCAATTTCGTAAACACCCCCGTCACGAGAAGGCAGTGAGTAGGACTTCCCTGGCAGAGGCTATATATTCGCGTGGTCGTGTGAGAGCATTTGGAGAGGGAGAGGGAGAGCTAGCTCTCCCCACTCTCGGCCGCACCAGGTCATTTGGGGGCCTGGAGAATGATATACACATTCAGTTATAAAAATGTTGAGACATAGAGGTGGCAACGCAACACAATACTAATGATAGCAAAGCAATTTAAGGCTCATATAAATATGTTTAAACAAACTCACCTAATCAATCATTTAAAAAAAATATAATTGATGAAGACGTTTTAGAGACAGATTTAAATTATAGACAGTATTAGTCAGAGATCAATCTCAGTTTTAGTTCCACTGTAAATTATGAAGAACTGGACAACCATTTAGTCCTTATATGGGCCACTGCAGCACTATGTATCCATAATCTTGTAAAGGATCAAATACAAAACCTTAAGGTCTCAAGAGGAACTGCCAGTGTGGTATATACCTTTTGAAAAACGTGTAAAATACTTGATTGTATTTATGTATATCACTATACTCCGAATGGATTTACTATAGCAACTGAGATACAATTGAGTTTGTTTACACCTAATCTGGTTAAGCCCTTTTTATTAACTTAACAGACATTGTCATTTGGATAGTAACAATTTGCATATTCTTTTCACTGCTATACTACTATAACACATGACACTTTATCCAAAATGTTTACTGCTTAAATATCATTCAATGACTTATACACCTCCCCATATGTGTACGCACGCAAATATTATTATCAGTCTTTGTTTTGCTTTGCTGTGCCCTTATTAAATTTGACTATAAATTGCCTATGTAATTACTTGCTATTCGCTCGCTTGCATCTCGTTCGTTTCCTTCGCTTGTTCGCCTATTCACTTGCTCTCTCGCTCGCTCGTTAATATTCGCTCAGGTGTTGTTAACTTTCTGACCTGAGTTATTCGACAATAAACTGTGGTTGCTGCTATCCTTCGTCTTCTGATTTTACGCACCGTTAAGTTTAGAATTATAACGGTTATCGAAATAAACGATTAAGGAATCGTGGCACTACATTACTATATCCAGGTCCAAGCATAAAGATTTTGTATTATATCTCATCACAAATGCTGAGAAATAACTTACCTGTTACTTTTGAAGTTATGTCTGGGAAAGAGTTTTTTCTTTCACTATTTAATGGTAATCGCATAGGAGAATCATTCGATGTATTGAAATTACGTGCTATTCCAGGTGGAATAACACCAAGACTATTTTTTAATTTTACTGAAGAACTGAGTTGTGGAACCTGACCACAAGTTTTTGGTCGAACTGCTTCAACTGGTAATATACGTCTTCTACGTTTTGGAAGTTTAGATTGAGCTTGAGTATGTGTATAAAAACGTGAAAAATTAGATACAATAACAGGAACTGGGAGTGAGATTGTCATAACACCAGTAATTGCACACATTGCACCAACTATCATACCTGTGAATATACAAAAGACAAATGATTATATGACATCTTTGAGAGTATAAAACATAAATTAAATTGGGTTTCCTTATAGAATTCTAGTTTCAATAGTTGATGGAACTGTGTGTCTACACAACGAAGTTGTTTCAAGTCAAGAACAACTAGCTATCCTGAGACCATTAGTTCTTCAAAATCCCCAAGTTGATATAAATTTGTGATGAATATAAACCTAATGTTTTATTTTCCAGTCACTCAGTGAGTAACTGTTTTGTTCTTGTATGAGTATCGCCCAAAAGTGTTCGAGTATTGCCGCTATTATAGTTCAGAAGTAAGAGCTTCAAGCCTATAAATTAACACCTCAATGGAATAGCAAAATAAAATGAAGAAAAATTGTCAAATGGTTCCTGCTTTTCAAGGATTCTATAGTTATTACCAGTCTTAAGTTCGAAGTATCTTTGACTAATCTTTGGATTGACAATTTATTTTCATACACAATTTTTATTATAGATACACTGAGCCTTAAATTATCAAGGAGAAGCTGGACCTTCATTGGAAGGAAATCTGTCAGGATTAACACAAGTTCACCAACATATTATCCTTATTACTGAAGACTGAAGACTTATACATTATTTCAAATACTCATGGAGGTCCTTGAACTGAGTTCAGTATTCAAAAGATCTCATTAGTTTAAATAATACTATCTAAACATCAGAAAAAAATTCTAATTTGAGCAAGTGATGATATAATAATAACGCCGTTTACAATCGTGTTGAGCTGTGGCTTCTAGGTCACTCATTTAAATAGCTTCATTACTTTCTTTATCAACATGAATACTACATGTAGATCGGATGCGTTCTATTATAATTTTAGGTTTAGAGGTTTTATAGTGATGATAAAATTTTCATAGTTTTTGAATTACAAACTGATATTGTGGTGTATATCGACATAAGTAGTATATAACACTAGCCAAGAATAGAATGTCTGGCACCAGAAGGTCGAGAAGATCGAGGAGGAAAGAATAGGAACAGAAAGCAATTGATATTGGAAATGCAGTAAAAATGAGTGAGAATAACATTTATACAATTATGATTGTACACTGATACCAATGTGTATCACGAGGCAATCCCTAACTTGGAATCCGGAAATGAAGCGGGAAAGAGGATGACCAAAAAATAGAAGCAGATATGAAAAGGATGAGTAACAACTGGAAAGAACTGGAAAGGATTGCCCAGGATAGAGTTAGACGGAGAACGCTAGTGGCGGCCTATGATCATCCACTATGGGTAACAGGCGTAAGTAAGTAAGCACTGATAACAATACATGGATCATATTAACCAAATCTTTAGTAAATATCTCATATTTTCAGTAGGGGTTTTTTTGTGTTTGTATCTTCCCATTGATGTTTAGGACTGCAGCTGGTCAGTCTCAACTCTGAAATGCAGGTACATCCAGCTGACGATTCCCAAATAGGACGAAACGCACGTCCTGGATTCCACTGCCAGACACTATCCATCTTTGAATCTATTCAGCAAATTTTAAAACTATATGTGTTTCCTTGAGACATTATGTTGATATTTCTTCACACTGAATATTAACCAAACTCTGTTTCGTGGATTGCATTTGTATCATTGATTCTAGTTCGGATAACATTGAAAACCAGCAGGAATCGTATAGCTACTTTATCTCAATATAAGATCCCTTAGTACTCCAAAATCACAACTCCATCAAAGATGGAACTCACAACCTTCAGGTTACCTAGACATTTGAAGCCTTTTATCAAATTCTAATGGTATTATCTCAACTTTAATCTATTCGTGGAGTCTCAAACAAGAACATGACAGCTGTCTAGTACACTCTGGCTTCTAATGGTATCTAAGCTGAGATTATGCTATAAGGAATACAGCTTAAAAATTAAAACAATCTTCATCAAAACTCTAAGACTACTTTCAATTTTATTTGAAGTATTTTCAATTAGTGAACATTGTTATTAATGAGAGTTTAACACAACAAAATGAACTGTCATTTTGTTTCAATATTGTTCTGTTTCTGCTCAAGTTAATAGACTATGTGTTCTATCGAGTTGTCAATAGTCTGTGAAACTTCAAATTTTTATATAGAGTTTAAAAAACAATTACTTCAACACATTCAGATCTATAAGCAAAGATGGATAGAGGTTAGCAGTGGAATCTAGGACGCGCGTTTCGTCCTATTTGGGACTTGTCAGCTGAATGTACCTGCATCTCAGAGTTGATGTTCATTCTTGGATTCGAAAGCAGTACTCTTGATGGAGATTTTAGTACTTTTCTATATATAGTTGGAATCATGAGTCAATTGAAGCTAGACCATCATGGAAAACCTGAAAGCACTGGACGGTCGTTCCGTCCTATTGTTGGACTCCTCAGCAGTGCACATCCACGAGATTCGAACCCAGGACCTACCAGTCTCGCGCGCGATCACTTAACCTGTATTCCACTGATCCAGCCAGCACCCAACGATGTTAATGTCTAAATTCAATCAATCCACGAAATTGACCAACCATTTCACCAATATCTGCATTGAGTTGATATCTCTGATTTGATATTACTGATTTTAGTAATACCTTTGACTCTATCATCATTTCACAAATCTTGTTTTAAAGTTATGAAAACAAATTTTACGAAGTAGTCGATTATTTTTTTCGAGGGGTGATAGGTGGGGGTGGGTGGGGGTGGGGGTGAAATATAGTTTTATAATTTAACGTGACCTATTTATCATTTGGTTAGTCCTTTATTCTATATTTTTTATTTAAACAAAACAGAAAAGCTGTTAACAATATCCTTCAAGAGGAAATCCTCCACAGCAACAACAACAACAACAACTCGTTGTCACGTAAGTTAAATCTTCAACTTCCATTAATGAACAATTACATTGATTCATTAAACAATTAGATAATCATTATTTCTTTCTACCTCTCTATATCCTTTTCTTTGAAATATATACATATCATTGAAATGACTTCAATCTACAACGTATATATGTGTATTCATTTAATGGAACATTTATGTTTTTGGCAATATTGATCTTAATAGATCTTGACATTAAAAAGGACATAAATTTTTTTTTTTTTCATTCTAATATACTACTCAATTAAATTGAATTAGTTCATTCATAAATATCAAACATTATAAAGTGTGTTTTTTTTTTTTTTTTCTTCCAAGACGATATTCATGAGAGAGCGATATGAAAATGATTGTTTATTGAGAATTTCAAAACATGCATAAAGAAATTTTTTTTTCGTAAGAAGTTAAATTTATAAGTCAATTAAAGGTAGACTACTAATAGGAAACCTGAAAGCAATTGGCTGTCGTTTCATCTTAGTATGAGACTCTTCAGTAGTGCACATTTAAGATCCTACTCGCGGGATTCGGACTCAAGACCTTTAGTCTTGCACACGAGAACGCCTAACTTCTAGACCATTTAGCCAGCCGATATTCAAAAGGGTGTTAGTGTCTAACTTCAACCAATTTACATGTGATATCATAATTTGTTTTTGTCTAAAAAAGTGAATTAAATGAAACGTCTTCATAGAAGAAACTTTAAATTAGTCATCTAGTGATAACCGTCAAAGTAATATTCAACGTTTTCTCTGTTCAATAAGTGTCTGATCTCCAGTAATTTCAAATATTTTGTATTCATTTAATAGGTGAGTCTTGTGTATGAAAGAGTAATTTTTCTGAGAGACTTCATTTTATGAGGCCTGAATATTTTACTGACATTGTTTTAATTCAGGACTTCAACCTGTTATTCACAAACATGTTCATAGTAAACAGTTACAGACAACTCTAAACTCTTGAGATGATTAAATTTGCTTATTATTGTTTGTTTGAATCTTCTCATTGATGCTTAAGACTGCAATTGATCTGTCACTTATTTGCATATGTGCTATCAGGACTCAGTAGCTAAGTGGACAACGTGATGGCGTTTGAAATGAAAGGTATTGGATTCGAGTCCCAGAGTGAACATCAACTCTGAGATGCACGTACATAAGCTGACGAGTCCCGAATAGGACGAAACGTGCGTCCTGGATTCAACTACTAGCTACTACCTATCTCTGTTTATAGTGCTTGTGATTTCAGGCCATATCGAAGCAATACGCACAGTATGCACGTATGCCAATAAGAGACTAACCAGTTGCAGTCCTAAACATCTATGGGAACATTCAAACAAACAATAACAACTGAAAGCCAAAGTACACACTTAGTCGAGAATTGAAGAACAGAATGAATAGCAATTGGAACCAAACTGAAAAGTATAGTTCAGGATAGAGTTGGCTGGCGAATGATAGTTGGTGTCCTATACCACTCTACTAATGGTAACAGGCGTAAGTAAGTTAGTATATATATATATATATATATATATATATATATATATATATATTTGTAAATAGGTGTGTACTGATAAGACATTTTAAATTAATAGGCAAATATGGTTAGTGGCTAGTAGTGGAATGAAGGACGCACGTTTCGTCTTAATTGGGACTCGTCAGCTAGATGTAATTCCATCCCAGTGTTAATGTTTAAAATGAATTTAAAATAATTGTTTATAATTTACATCGATATAAACTTTTACACAGATTGTGTTTTAGCGGCTCTTTTGATGTTTTAAGATTTATGATCTGTATTATTCTCTAATTTATACTGGTGGGCGGTCTATGCTCCTCCACGAGGGATAACAGGCGTAATTAAGTAAAGTATTTTACAACTTATCTACAAATTATACATTTCTTTTCATTTTCTTATCTAAATTTAGGTTTGTAGAAATACTGAAGAGTCCCATACTAGAACGAAACGACTGTCCAGTGCTTCTATGTTTTCTATAATGATTTAACTGTAATTGTTTCATAAATTCAACTATCTATCTATCTATAAAAAGAAAATGATTGATATATAATCAAGTGGATAAATTCCCTTGACAGAAATCTGTCCAACTATATACAGACTCATTTACCAAATGAAAATGATGATCATGGATATGAT